CACATAAACTACACGTAAACGGTGGCCATTTTGATTTTTTTTTTAAGTCACACTTTACTGTCGTGCTGTAAGAATTAAAAATCTTCTGATGGTTGCATGGCGATTACTAAGGCCCAATAATAATAAATTGATAATGATTAGGCCTGATAATGATATATAGGCTAAATTGAATTTATGCGTCTATGATTTGGGAGATTATTCATTCCGTCATAATTCAGTTAAGATTTCAAACGATAGTGTGGCTCTATGGCATACAATAAATCACGGACTAAATTAATGCGATGAAAGACACAATCGATTAATTAGGACCCATTACGCGCGTGTGTGTGTGTGTGTATCAAGACATGGTCAATCCAAGTATAATAGGCCTATAAACCAAGCCAAGAATAATATGTCAAATGCCATTTATAATTTCTAAATGTTGACGGTATAATTTAGGTGCGTAAATATCTATAGTGTGAGAGAACCATCGAGAAAATATATGTTATATTTTCTCCTTAATTAACTTATAAATAAAATAAAAACAATAAAAATAACATAACACAATAATATAACAATACAATAATATAACAATCAACAATAACAATAATAATAGAATAGTAATAATCGCACAGTAATAATATTCGTAATATGCCTACTACTGTATGTAATATAACCAGTAGCATATCCTTTCGTGACGGTCTTCGCTAGTCGTCATATGCTGAATAATGAATACCGGTACAGTATATTCATGGCAATTGATTCATGATCATGACTTGATAGAGAAATGCATCTTCTGCCGTCGTCGTTGACATTAGCAATTCAGCATTTTAAAACAGGCATTTTGCGAGGTTTTGCATGGATCGTAATTTAAGTTCTAAACGTCCATTCATTGGAAATTGTTCTCTAGAGTCATTTACCATATAATTTAAATATCGCGTAGTGCTGTGCATAAAGTAATCCCAAACAGAACAGTATAGTTCAATTTTCACCGATGAATGGATGAATGATCATAGCACGTAAAAATAGAAACTCCGTTGTCATAGTTTTGGAATAGGCCTATGAACATCATAATTTACAATGGCTGAAAAAATACTAATCACCATAACAAAAACACGAGCCTAAGAAACTTAATAATTTAATCGTACAATTTTTCATCTGTATAAATATGCCACTTACTTTCATGGAATAGACAGTCGTTATTTTATAGTTTTATGTTTACATCGTAGCAAAATACATCCAATATTTTCATGGCTATATTACGTGGAAAAGCAAAATGTGTAGACTTGTTTTAATGCCTCCATGTTTGATATAATAATATAATTAAAGTTCCTGATCTTACATCGTGATTTGAGCAGGGAGATGTACACCTCCCTGATTTGAGTACTGTACAGTATATTTTTGTTTAACCTTGCGGTCCTGAGTAGTTGTTTACTCAGTGGATGTAGTGACAAGACGTCATTCTGATGTGCACTAAAAGCTCTGCCTTTTGTTTCGAGCTGTCTGTCACTCATTCAACAATACTATCGATCCGATCACAATACCTGATTGGACCATGGACCTCTATTAGGCCTATCGGATGAATGATATCGACAATTGCGTGTATCTAAAGAGGAAGTTCTTATTATATTGTCAGGATACCCCACCGAGTGAAATCAGAGGAGAATGAACGACAATTCTGTACCCTGTGTGTGAGAGTGAAGGACATTTCTTCACCGGGTGTTTGTCACGGGTCGGAAGTCAAAATGCTTCTTGTCACCACTGTTAAGCAGCGTAAATTATATTTTTGATACACACACTGTTGTGACTGTAGATTTTAGTAAATCACCGACATACACGATACCTACTTTATTCCTGGAATCTTTCAATTGCATCCGTATATCATTTAAATTATAAGCGTCACTCATGGTAGGGCTGTAGGCCTAATAGTAATTGTTATAGCGTTTGACATTTTGACTACTTTATGCCCATTACAGTATTATAATTGGCTGACGGTATCTTTGGGTGATTTTTACCGTATAATAGGCCTACCCAGGCATATATAAAGCAACAATTTTAATTTTGAGCACATAGGCCTAAACATTAAATTTTAATGAAGTCAACATTTTAGTTAGGACCGTCCTCATGGCAACATCACAGGGTCTGTCATTATATAGTAATTAGGATTAATTCTTTCGTTCAAGGTCAACCATCACTCACCCCAAGCAACGCGCTGGCAAGATGGGAACCACGAAAATAATAATAATTCGGTATTCTCAGATAAAACCCTCTTCCCATAGAAAATAAATTATACTCTGATACCAAACTTATAGTGGTTCAGACGGGCTTTTTTTGGGGGGGGGGGGGGGGAACACCTTTTTGGCCTAATGACAATGCTTCGCGGATGTTTAACAACTTCCCTGCTTCATCTTATATTATTTCATTCATGATGATGTGTATTTGATGCGATTTACCTTATTCAACTTTTCTCGCTGAATGAATATTTGGGCTGCTAAGTTGCCTGGCATTTCCCCAATCACTCCGCTACGGGGAGGGGTAAACCGATGTGGTAGGACAGGTCAGTACAATAGAACCTATCCATGTACTGTACAGTTTAGTAAGAAGGTCATTCAATAAATTTAATTATGATTCCCTGCACGAGTTCTTCAGGAATTTACAGGCCTCTTGGGTTGGTTCGTATGGTATTCTGCCACAGGCATTTTACCACTTAAAACAAGTGTTTATGGATGAAATTGAGAACAACCCATTTTGGGTAATGGCCTAGACATGGTTGTATGCCTCTGGTGCAGAGTGGGAGACTTTGAAGTCATCCGGTTTCACCCACCGACGCGATACAAGATAAAACTGTCTAACTGCGCCGTAAATTAGGCATATTGAAATAAAGTTACTTTTTAGTTTCATCCAATTCGGCTTAAAATCATTTGTTTTGTTTATAAAACATGGGTATTTCGAACTGGGATTGTATGCGAATGTTATGAGGAAGGGACGATCATACCCAGGCCTAGTAAAATCACATTGCACAGCAGTTCAGTGTTGGAGAAACTCCCACCACAACACTCGTTTTTGCTGAATACGGTATATTTTTTTTCGCATCCAACAGCAACTAGGCCTAACCATGGCCTAACTTGCCAATTACATGCTAGAGCGATGCTTTATTATAAACCATGGAGGAATTAGTTCAGATAAGCTAAGTACAAGGCCATAAGAAGCGGTCCGGCTGGTCCGGTTTTGGAAGGACCAATAATTCAGCAATCAATATCGTAAATTTGTATGCCAAAATTGGCCTTTTAACTTCTGTCCGCACAGTACGCTGTACATTCAGAACACAAATTACATTTCATTGCATATATATTTAAATACAGTTACATTTAAATACAGCCCCTCCCCCAAGTATTCGGATCTCGAACTTGAGAGTGCACTTTCCACCTCTGGGACCTGGAACTGGGGGTTGCACTTCGGCTCGGTGTCCAATTAGAGGGTTACACTGTAGCTTTGTGTTAAAAATTATTTTTTTTAAATTTTGTTATAAAAGTATATATATAGGCCTATATATATATATATATCTGTCTCTTAT